CTGTGGATATTCTGTTGTCTTACATGTATCCTATTAGTTCAGTGGTTCTCAAAGGATGGTCCCTGGCCAGTAGCATCAGCATTTTGTGGAGACTTACTACAAATGCAAATCCTTGGTCCCCACCGCAGACCCAATCAGAAACTTTGGGGACAGTGGCCCAGCAATCTGTGTTCTAATAAGCCCTTCAGGTGATTCTAATGCACATAATATTTGAGAATGCCTGCCTTTGTTCCATCTACCTAGACTGCTCTCCTCCTTTCTCACTTACTGAATTCCTAGTTATCTTATAAGATGATGTGTTCCTGGCAGAGTTACCCTCTCTTCTGTGTCATACAGTACTTTATCAAATCTCTTTTATAGCATTTATACTGATTGCGTCTGTCTCCTTTTGAAGGTGGAGGCCACAACATAAATTACTTTAGCATCTGCATGCAGCATCTACCTTGGTGATAAGTTATTAAGTGCTGGTGAATAAATGAATGTATGCATGAATGAAGGAGAAGAGCATTATAGGAGGAGTGGTGATCAATAAGGTCAGCTGCTGTGAAGAGATCATGGAGAATAATGAAGGAAAAAAGCTATTGGATTTCATAGTAAGGCATGTGTTGGTGACCTTTGAAATGCTTGCTTCAGCAGAGTGATGGGCAAGAAGCCCAGATTGCTGGGAGTTAGGGACTTCCAACATGATGAAGACTTGCAAGTTTCCAGACTTATTGACTGTTTATCTGAACATGTGGTGGAAACAGAATTTTCTTGGGAGAAATAACTAAGTGACCTTAGGCCAGTTACTTCATTGAGCCTGTGATCTCTAAATAGGCAATAAGAGTAATACTGTGTGTTTTTTATTTTTTTGGAGGATTAAAGGAGATCATTTTAACCCCCTAGAATGATGCCTGACTTTTAGTACTTAAATGGTCATTTTCTTTATCCACCCCCAACACACAGTTATTTTTATTTAATAATGTTGATGGTATCCATTACCCTTTGTAAATTTGTATAAGATATGCAGTTGTTAAGGATACCCTGTTTCTAGTCATTGGAGAAATTGTGAATAGCATTTGGCCTGGAACTAATATACCTTTAGTTGAACCACTGATAGGTGCTTTGAAATTACATGGTATCCAGCTGGAAAAGTACCCCCAAAAGTGGTTGTCTTAGTCAAGGCTCCTTTAGATACAAATTATGGAATCCTACTTCAGGCAGACATAAAAAGGTAGAGTGAGGAGAGATTTCTTTGGCTCATGTCACTGAAAATTCTGGCCTCAACATTGCCATATCCATATCTTCTGGATCAAACAGTTATTATCAGTACTTGGTCTTTCTCAGACCATTTTGCAGCCTGTCTTCCATGTGATTCTCATTCTCAAGCATATATATTAGCTGCAAATTTCTAAGAAAGAGAGGACTTCCCAGGAGTTCTAACTAAAATCCTAGATTTAGTCTCACTGTTCAGACTTAGGTCACTTGCCCATTCTTGAACAAGTTGCTGTGCCAGGGTCCTGGGGATATCCTGGTTTCCAGGCTTGGCTCAAGGAACATAACATCCTGGTCTGTGAAATAGTTGATACTGAGGGGAAGAGTGACTCCCCAAAGGGAAATCAAGAGTCTGGTACCAGAATGAAGGGGAGTAGATGTAAAGCAGGCAAAACAGCTGACATCATCTTATTGTATAGAAAAGTGCTTTTTTTTTACCCTGTGCTTCCAGCAATTCTAGGGGTCCCAGCTTAAACAAGTTGAATATAAAGAAGAGAATAACAAATTATTCGAAGTTCTCTAGTCCACACGCACTCCAGCTTCACCAAGAATAGCTTTACTTTTATATGTTTTTATACCCAGTTTTTCTAAAGATTTCATTTGAAAATGGACATTGGTATAGGACAATTTAAGATGGTTAGACCCATAAAGTATACAGGTAGGTGACCCTCTTTTCTCACTCCATTCTGCTGAACAAGTTCTTGCCCTGCCTTTTATTCATCCCCATTGGCCCATCTCATATTCCTAACCCTACTAAGACTCAGACTTGAGTCCTCCACGGTCAGACATAGGAAGGTCATGACATGAGGCAGACTCAGTTTACTGTTATTAGGGTGCTTAAAAAATTTCACTTACCCTTTGCTCACCTAGGAGACATCCCCAAAAGTTGTCGACAACTTGGTGACTTAGTATGATCCAGCAATTGTAAAGTAGAAAAATTTGATACATTCAAGAAATTCAACAGATCATAATCTTCAATGATTTGTATATGCTGAAATTTGTAGTTGACACCTGCAAGCTGGGCAGTTTAATTTTTCAATCCTTTGTCTGGCTCATCTCCTAGATAATCGCTGCTTAAATCACACTCTCAAGTTTTTTTTTTCCCTTATCTACTATTGACTTTCTTTAAGTACCTGGCCCACCCTTTCATCCTCCATATCAGAGTATAAATGTGGCCAGGTGCCTTTTTATGTAAATAAGGTTTTATTGGAACACTGACACACCCATTAGTTTAAGTCTTACCTGCTCTCCCTCTGTGACAGCAGAGGTGAGTACTTGTGAAACAGGACGTTTGACCCACAAACCTAAAATATTTACTGTCTGGCATTTTACAGAAAAAGTTGTTGATCCCTGCTGTATTTTTATGTGGCTTATAACAGTATTTCTCTTTTTTGACATGGCATATTTATGAAGACGAATCAGGTGACGTCCTTATAATATTCTCATTCTCTGTTGTTCTCAAAAGCATATCTAGGGAAATGTTTCTGCTTTACCTTTCCACTTGTGCTCTTTCAGTTCTCTGAACAACTTCTCTTTGTTTCTGGAGCCTCAACAGTTTAGTCCTCTTATGCCAGCCCTTTTTTGAAGAGCAGGAGGGAGAGGGGTGACAGCTTCCCACTCAGCCCTCGAACACATAGGTACACACACTTGTGTGTACTTAATGCATGGCTGTAGGTACCAAACATGGGGACAGAAATCAAGATTTGGTGTCATCTTATTTCCCCTCTACTGAACCCTCTTGCTTTCCTATTTGTGGTGGTCATGGCAGTGTATTTGGTGAAGAGGTGTTTGATGCAGGCCAGGAGGGTTGATGAAGGGAAATGGGGGAGAGGAGCAGATTTCCCCTGACCTGGTCACTGGATTCTGTAAGCAGAGCAGCTTACTCATCAGAAGGCTGAGTAGTAAAGCTCTACTTGAAGAAGAACAGGGATAGTAATACCTCATTCCTGCATTTTTGCAGTCTAAATGCCCTGTGGAGTGAGAGAAGACTTCAATCCCTAGGCTTGTGAATCCCTTATCTTAACCAAACGTTAAATTAATTTTTAAAGCTATTTATTCAAAGTTGACTTAACCACTAGAATAGGAAAGATCAGACAAATCAGCTGCAAGAAATGAAGTATGAGGAAACCCGAACTCTTTGACAAAGTATTCCTGGGAGTAAATGTGTTGAATGAAGCCAGCGGGTAAATGATAAGGGCCTTTACACTGTGGATGTAAGAAAGCAATTTATCAAGAGTACATGAACTCTCTGGTGACCACAAGTCAGGAGGAAACGAGAGTGGAGGAGGAACCCTGAAAAAATAAATTTGAAATACTAAAAAAAAGTGTGTGTGTGCATGTACTTTTAAATACCTGCAATTAATATGCAGAAATACAGGCATATTCAAATAGGAGTTGCTCAGAGTGCACATGTACAGTAGCCTGTACTGTGAAGGGATGAGGTGCTGGGAAGAGTGGCTGAGAAAGCACGGGCAGTGGTTTAGAACTTCCAGAAAACTCGGGCACTCTCAGGTGTAGTTACAGTTTGAGCCTGGTTGTTGTCTGATACCCATTTGCCTGACTTATGAGATTAGATGACCATCTTTCAGGCTCACATGTTTATCTTTTTTAATCTCTGGAAGGTCATCTGTGTATAATTCTGACAGTTGATCTAAGGCTTTTGTGCTCTCTTAACGGGTTCAAAGCACGTCTCACTCATTATTCCGTTAATCTTTGCAGCATCTCTTTGAGCCGTGTAGATGAGACAATGTTATCTTAATTGTTCACTGTAGAGAAACTGAGGAAAGCTGTAATTACATTATCTGCAGTAGGGTTCCCAGGAGCTCAGATAAGGATGGGGACTAGAATGTATGACCTTATCTTGGCTTGTAGATCTAGATGTAACTTCTTAGACAGGAGGAGAAAAAGGCCTAAAGTATTTACTGTGAGGATGGTCATCCTCAGTTTTCTGGACTGAGGTAACACTGCTGAAATACACAGAAATTCTTCAACTTTGATGTTTGTCATTTTTTCCCATTTGCATCTGATACTAAACCCTTGTCAGAGCTGTTTATAAAAAGGGACCAAGTTACAACATGAATTCCTTTCTCTTGAATAGGCCAGTGAACATTAAACTGTCTAACAGGTGAATAGCAAGAGGGAGAGTTGGAAGAACTACTTCTTGGGATAATCCCTGCTCGCTAATTTAACTTGAGTTACATTAGTAGACCTTATTCCCTCCAATTGGGCCTTTTAACCCTGTAAAGAGCTGCTCCTCTTCCTCTAAACCATTCAAGTAGGATAAGGGGTGAATCTTATTCAGAAAACTGATATTGGCTAAATCTGCTCTTATGGCAGGAGTCGGGAATTGTTTTTCTGTCTTTGGTGGGTGGGGAGGACATCGTGGCAACTTGGGCTAAGCCATAGTTCAATTGGCAAATTAATTAGTCAGGTTTTTAGAGCCGGCCACAGTCATTTAGAAACATCCTCAGTGGCTCTCTTTCTGAAAGTCGAGTATGTTTTGTTATTTGCTGTTGTCTGCAATTTATAAGCATACCAAATTAAAAAGAAAAGGCAAAGCAGGGAGGAGGTGGGAAGAGAACTGTTTACATTGCAAACTCTTGCTTAAACATCTGTGGTCATGATCCATCTGTAGAAACAGAGCCCTGATAACTTCCAGTGACTTGTTTCTACTTTCTTTGTCTCTGCCCTTTCCCTCGATCTCTGGATTCCCACCCACCTCCGGAACTTTGGTGGGGACACCACAGCCTTGGATAAACTCAGCACGCAGCATCTATACCACCCCACCCAGGTGGAGATCGTGCAGTCCAACGTGGTGTTCGACATCAGCAGCCTGATGCTCTACGGGACGCAGGCGGTGCCGGTGCGGCTAAAGATCCTGCTAGACCGTCTCTTCAGTGTCCTGAAGCAAGAGGAGGTGCTGCACATCTTGCACGGCCTGGGCTGGACTCTGCGGGATTACGTCCGGGGGTACATCCTTCAGGTAGGGGGAGGATGGCGAAGCTGGTGTCTGGCCAGCTCTAGGACGTGTTGAGGGAGAACCCTTGCGAACCTGGTCTCTTTCCTGTCCCTCACAGGCCTGGGCATGCACACCCTCTTCTGATTAAAATGCTCCTTTTGGCAGGCTTGTTAGAGAACTGGAGAGAAGGAGCTCTGTCCCAGCAGGCTGGCACTGGGCCTCGGTGGTGGATGGTAGAAAGGAAAAAGTGACCTGTTGCCTAGCGTTGCTTTGTTTGCATCTTTTTTAAATTCAGCTCTCTGTCCCTACAACGTGGGCTTCCTGCTTCTCCAACAAGTCTGATTTAGCCCCACTAAAAGGAAGGGCTCTTTGAGGTGGGTGACATGTTTGTGAAAATCTGAGATTACGTTTCATCTGGGTTTAGTAGGGCTTTTGCTTGCACGGAGTTTGTAGGTTTAGTGGTTTTTTTGTTTTGTTTTTTTGGTTGTCCGTGTACCTTATTTATTGCTTCTTCATCCGAATCAAAAGAACTGTAACCCCTGTAAACTCTCTGCTTTTATAACCAGTAAACCCTCACATTCCAGAACCCAGAGACATGGTTATAGATTTGGCTTTCGCAGCACCTGTCCATCCAGCTTGAGCCTCTTGTTTGTATCAGTGGCACTTGCAATCTGGTAAGGGTCTTAAGACTTTTCCTGGAGGCCTGCAGCCTCCGCTTCCCACCCCCACCCCAACCTCCCTGCATTTTTTCGTCATTTTTTGCAGTATGTCATGAGTCGCTTTGCATTGTGTACTTTGCCTCTGAAGTGTTTTTATGGCCATCTGTCTTCCTACGACCCTTGAAGGGTAAATGTTGAAAACAGCATGTTGGGAGACCCCAGGATCCAAAAAGACTACACTGGACGATGAAGAAGTACTCCCTCCTGCCAAAGGAGATCACAGTTGGAGAAGGTAGAATCTGAAGTGATTTTTAAATTTCTTACGGGGATAATACCAGGAGAACTGACCCCTTCAGGAAAAACAAAAAACATGGTTTTTGGCTCTGCCAGCCTTGTTTATCCCCCAGTCACCCTGTGTTGTGTGCAAGGCCTTGGCTGCCAGTGTGGTATGCGAAGAGTGGAGGGCCTCACATCTCCCCCTTGCCTTAACCTGGCATAAACACACACACATTCCTGTCATTCTCCTATGTGGTACCTCCAGGTGTTAGCCAGGGCAGGAGAGCAGAGAGGTATGATGACAAGAAGTAGAGAGAGACAGAGGGTAGAATAACCCGTCTGCTCCTGAGACTGATTTGGTTAGCATTGAATCATTGCTTAGTTTAGTGAGATGTCAACTTGGAAGGCACAAAGAATTTGGCTCTCAGAAGACAAGATGATGATGATAATAGGAATAATTATATATTACGTTTTTAGTTTATAGAAGACTTTCACAAGCATTATCTCATTTGCCTCAGGATGGGGGCATTTCAGTGGGGTGAGTGGAAAGTTAAGTCCTGGGTGGTCAGGAGACCTGAGGGGGCATGAGGTCCAGAAGGAAGAGGCCAGGAAAAATAAAGCATGGAACCAGTTTCACAATACCTGCTCATAACTGGCCTGGAGTAGATATGGTGCCACATCTTTCTACATTCGTTTCCACAACATAATTATTAATATCCATTTGGGATAGCTCTTACTCTACAGAAAGGAACGACGCTCTTGCACATTTTTGAACAGAATTATTAGCATAGCTAAGCACTCTTTATTCAAAACCTACGGTAACATGCCCTTATCTAGTACCACCTTTACTGCCGCCACTCTGATGCTTAGTTCTGTCCTAAGTGCTGTATTTCAGTTCTATGTGTACATTTTTGCCTGAGCTATCTGGAGCAGATATATGGTATCTTCCTGGCCAAACAGATACGTGCATGACTGATTAGTTGCCCTCCTAACAACCCAGTTCACTGTAGCACTTGGATGGTGGTAAATCGGGAACCTGCTTGTTGTAATGTGATATGGTCCTGATGTTTTGCCTTGACCAATACCTGTTCTTTGTTTTACTTGAAATTATTATTTAAGTGCTAACTTTTCTCTGTTTCAGCCTATCTCTAAGGCGTGCATAGAAAATGTACTTTGAAATGTACTCCGTATTTCTTTTTGTTTTCTTTTTGTTTTAACAATACAGAATTGCAAGAGAAATTAAGTATGAGAGGAAAATTCAGCAAAACCATGAGCTGAGATTTATAAAGTCTCTTATTTTAGGGTAAAATATTGCATATGAAGCATTCTGTCATTTACTGTGATACTTAAGTTATAATTAATTTTTATTAACTTATACATTTTGCCAAAGTCTTAATATAATCTGTTTCTCCATTCAGGGCCTAGAATTGACATTTTGAGAAAATCATAGATGATTTTAACATTAGAAGAATACTAGGTTTAGTTTTTGTCTTGTTTTATTGGTAGGATTGATATAATACAGATTTTATTTAAATGATGCTTTTTGTTACTTAGCATTTATCATCTATTTCTTCCTTGTGAAAATAGTTCTTGGTGTAGCGAAAAAACAAGAGGTTGAAGGACAAAAAACTATGTAGTGAGAAAATGTTCATTTTGTTTAAAAAAAAAAAAACACTCAAAACAAGAGCTAGGCTATAGAAATAAACCCTTTTCCTCTAAAGCAATGTGAGTTGGTTATTGGCCAATATTTTAAAAATTATATGTAGTAATGATAAGGTATACACAAATGACTTTGAATATAATTATATGTACCATTTTCATGCAAGGAGGCTGTAAAATGTGTGTCCAAAGGTTGTGGAACCCTATAATGCACTGTTAGCATACAAGTCATTTTATCTGGCTAAAACTCAATTGTCTTGTAGCCCTCAAGGCATCAATTTTAGCATTATTGCTCTCAACAACAGTATATTGAATATTATGTCAGTTAAAGGAGAATAATTATCAAGGCAAGTTAGGGTGGCTGTTAGTCTTACCACATATTGACTTGGTTAGCAGTTGGCTATAGATTGTGTTACTGGGCAAATGAAGATGTACGGTAAGTTGAACTGGTGAAGCCAGGATATTAATTTAACTCTCTCTGGGCCTAAACCTCCATCCCTCTATATATAGCTACTGCTGGTTCCAGAGATGGTTTTGAATGTGTAAGAATAGCAGGTGTCTGATCCGATTTTGAATTTTTGGATGTGGGGGGAAAGAGGAGTAGGCCGTGCAAAACTATCATTTACAAGAAGAGGGAGGTGATAGTGATGGCACAGATTTAAAAAACTAGCAATATCTTTCAAGAATCCTGTGCTGTTTTGATAAAAATTACTTTTTCACTTCTGTAATTATCCGTGTAATTCATAAGCGAGCCAGCTGGGTAGCATAACTTGGACCACAATGATTTAGGAATCCAGGTAGCGTCTTAAAGGTAGAAAACCCAGTATTTTCCTGTGTAGCAATTATTCATTCATAAAGAACAGGAAAAGTGAGGTAAATTTTAGGCTTTTTCCCACAAAACAGCAGAAAAAGGAAATAGGTAATTAGGTGCTAAAATCTAAAGGAACATAAGATGTTTTTCCTGCTGCCAAAGAGTAATTCTTTTTTCAAGTCTATATCCCATGGTACATTTATTGACAATAAATAGAAGCAGTGTCCTGTCATTTCCCCATTTTCCCTGTCTTTGACTTAGGATATAAGAGTATAGGTGATTATCATTGTTGAATTTAATCATTTAAAAATCAGGTTTTCACACAGTCATTTTTCAGTTTGAATGTGTATCTGACTTGCCAAGACTCATACACCAGCCCATCTGTGGAAATCTCTTGCTTTGCAAATGAGTCCTGCCAGAATTCAGAGAACCATATCAGACACTCTGAATAATTAGCTAAGGTGTCAGCAGCCTTGTGAGAGGGCGAGCAGTGATGTACATTCAAATCACCTGTGTCTTGAAACAATCAGAACTAATAGAACCATCAATACTTTAGGAGACTATTTCCCAGGGTATTCTGGAGGCACTAGTCTTCCAGAGGTCTGCCTTTAGATTTGGGAGGAACTACACTCAGGATCCTTCTGGTAGAGCCTGAAGGTACACATTAGCATAAAGGCTGTGAGAAGTTCTGGAGTAAGTGGTTTGTGAGAGTAGGTAAGTTGACTCCACAAACACTTTCCACTTCATAGCGTTTTCCTGTCAAGCTTCTCTGAACTCTTCCTCAACTTGGGGCATTCGCATATAGGGATTCTTCTGCCTGGACTCCCCTACTCCTCTCTACACATGGGCAATTTCTTGTTCTTTAGGTGTCAGCCAAAGTCCCACTTTTTTGCAAAGGCCTTTTCTGTCCAGGTTAACCAGTGTAAGTCTTTTCTTGTGTGGTTCTACCTCAAGAGTGTTTCCCTCAAGCTCCAATCCAATTTAAAATCAATCAATTAAGTCAACTGTTAAAATGGTTTTCTTCCTGGCTTCCTCACTAGGGAACGCCACAAAGGGAGGGCACTCAATAAATATTTGTTAAATGAATGGGTAAAGAAACCTGCTTCACTTGGTATAGCTTGATGTTTCACCATGGAACTCATGGAATATGTAGTAACCTGTTGGTCCAAGGGCTTATAGTCTTTCCTCGGGCTTCCTAGGTACTGGAAGGACAGATGGGCTCCTGAGGGCATTAGGAAGAACAACAAAAGCTCCCACACCCCCAGCTAGTGGTTGGTGTAGAACAAGTGTTTTGTGGTATCCATGTGGTAGAAAATGTCAATATTCAGCAAACACTTGTATTTAAACAGCCCTTTGTGGAGCAAGTTCACATATGTTAGCTCTTGGAATCCTCTTACATATACCATTCTCTTGTAGATATTGCCGGTGAATTAACATTTGGAGTAGTTGAAATTCAAAGAGATTGAACGACTTTCCCATGATCACAGAAACTATTAATTGGTACAGCTGATGCACTATAAGCTTCCTGAGGATAAGAACCACTTGCTCATCACTGTAACCCAACTCCTAGTAACCAGCCTGACACAAAATAGTGCTTCCAAAATATCGGAGAGAGAAAA